TATATAGGTACTACATGTGGACCTCTCTCAGATTTGTTCATTTTGTGATGGTATCTTCAATTCTCTAATTTTGGTGAATATTTTTGTAATTTTTGGTAAAAAGTGATATTTTCGACTTGTTAAAAACCAAAAGTTCAATTGCTTTGATATTACTATATAGATACTACATGTAGACCTTTCTTAGATTTGTTCATTTCGTGATGATATCTTCAATTCTCTAATTTTGGTGAATATTTTGGTCATTTTTGGTAGAAAGTGATATTTTCGACTTCTTGTTAAAAACTGTAAGTCCGATTGCTTTGATACTATACATATTGTTCATTTTCTAATGATGTCTTCAGTTCTTTAATTGAAATATGCATTGCTAACAGCGGAGCTATCTCAGCCGACAGGCTGCTTGTTATTTTGTAAATTTTATTTTAAAATTTTTTTATTTCATGTTTGAAAGCAGAATGTTGTTTTTCATTGCGTTCACTCAACCATTGAGTTATTGAAATAACCAAATAACTGTTTTCAATTATTTACATTGTATACAAATTATAGTGATGCTTATCATTAGAATGTACTATAGCTCAACACACGACAGTCATTCCTTCCATTGAGATAAGGGGCTCCACCTACATATAAATGGAATAATCCAATTTCAGATCTCTACATCTTGTTAAGTGCATGAGGCCCATCTCTGATACAAAGGAATTTTGCCTTCACTACATGTATTTAACACAGCTGTATACAAAACATACTTAATATTTCTAGAATTCTTTTCTATTCTACCAGTATATATCAGATTTATAAATATATATAGATATACATAACAAATATATAATCATGTTAACTAAAATATACTGTATTAAAATTTGGTATATAATAAATGTACTGTGCTATATGTAGGTGTTAGAGCTTATGTTGCATTTGTAAACTGTTTAAGTCAGTTCTGTCAATCATGAATGCTACGTGTGTACTAAATTCAATTTGGTAGGTCAGCGGCATCCATAGAAAACGACATATTTATGAAATGCAAGCAGAAAAATAATTTATGATGATTGATGAGTTTAATAGAACAGAACCAATTAGTTTTATTTATAGCAAAATCAGGGGGTTGGTCCTCATTTCCTGGAAGATCTCCTTCTATTTCACCTGAGTTTCTCTACACGTATCATTCATTAGCATTTTGTTTTTTGTGGAGCCCGTTGAAATTTGTATTCATGAGCCAGTTTCTGAGTTGCTGATAGTCAGGCAATACACATGTGTATGTCCATCTGCGGTTACATGTTTTGAAAATGGTTCTGGGTTTTGATGAAGAAATCCTGCAGCTGCAGGCAGACTGTTATGTGTCAAGGAACCTACAGTATTTTCTGGTATTTTTAATTTTAATATTTAATCTTCCGTGTACATCATTTGTGTATTATATTGTGTAAAATGCAGCCTGGATGATATTGCGCAATAAGGATTAGCCTAAATGTTCAATACCTACA